TTCGGCGGGCTGACCCTGAGATGCCTGAAGGTAAAAAACTCCGACATTTGATGAGGGGTGTCAAAGAAGGGCTGTTTGCCAGTCTCCTACGCAACCCGCCAACAAATGTAGCGGAATTTATAAAAAAGGCTACGACAATCGAGCGAGCACTGCAACAACGGTTCCGGTACCACGACCAACCAAACAACACATCTCCCAGCCTCTCTGCTTTGACTGCCAGCAGTGATTGTTCTCTGCGTGAGCTCATTCGTGAGGTTGTTCGTGAGGAGATTCGAAACCTCCTTGTGACTCCGCAAGAAAATACCGTGGCTTGCGTTGCAGAAGTTGTGTGGCAAGAGCTCCGCCAGGAATTTTCGTTGCCCAAATTGCTCTCAGACCAGTGGTCTGTAAGCTACGCATCGGCGGTTCGTCGACCCACTCTAGTGGCGTACAACTCGTCACCACTGGCTTATCGCGATGGATGTCAGCCAAGGGCCTTACAACGAGCCGTGGGCCCCAGCTTCTAATCCGCCGCTGCCGTATCCACAGTCTAACCTGCCTATGCACACGTCGCCGATGTACACTCTCCCGACATCTGCATCTTGGTCGCAAAGAATGCCCACCGGTCGACCTTTCATCCGTAAGACGGACTTGTGGCGCACCGTCGACTGTCGACCACTTTGCTTCCATTGTGGAGAAGCCGGCCATGTTTTCCGCATTTGTCCATACCCTGACCATAGACATCAGAACTTTCTACAAACCTCCCCTCGTACTGATTTCAATAACCGCCGTGATAGCAGTGCAGGCCCGCAGGCACAGCAACCCGATGTGCCGTATTGTCAACCGCACTCTCCTTCCCCTGCACCTAACTCGCCGCAGCAGCGCAGTTACGACGAGGTGGTCCGGGGCAGATCCCCTAGACCTTGTCGAGGAAACTAACAGCAGCGACCTTTAGAGGGAAGGTTGCCGCCTGCCAAGATGCTACCACACCCTCAACATCTTCACTACGACGCCATACGACGGATGATACCACGCATCGCACGACGGACGATACCATGTCACCGTCATCAACGGAAATCGTGAGCGCCAATCTAGACATTTGTATAGACGGACACCCAGGAACAGCGCTGTTAGATACTGGCACGGGCTTTTCTATTATCAGCCGTAAACTCGTCGACTGCCTAAAGAAAGTCAGAACAATATGGACGGGCCCGAACATAAGAACCGCAAGGGGTCAATTGGTGACACCGACGGGCAAATGTACTGTTCGAATTAATATCGGCAGTTCAGATTTCGTTGCTACTTTGATAATTTCACCGGAGTGCTGCAAAGACCTGATTTTGGTCATGGACTTCCTGCGTAAATACGGCGCCGTTATCAACATTCCTGAGAGATCAGTTAGATTTTGGATGGTTCGACGTCAAGTTTCGGATAGGCCCTGTACAGACCAGCGACGTAAACCTTTGGGCTTTTTTGACGACGACGTGACCATCCCACCGCGGTCGAGTGCACTCGTGGCTGTGACATGTGACATGTCTAGCAATTCTGAAAACATCGCCGAGCAAATTCCAACACTGTTATTCAGCCATGGTTTGTCTATCGCAAGAGGCGTCGTGAGTATAAAATGCGGACACACGCACGTCCTTGTTACGAACTTCAGCTCTGAATGCCGACATCTAACGAGGGGCATGGCAGTTGCATACGTGGAAAAGCTCGCCGAGATGACAGACTGCCTAACTCTTGAGAAAGATAATTCGGCTGATCTGTCCCCCATACCTCTATACGTTGATATTGGCCAAAGTTTGCTGCTGGCGCAGAAGCACAGTATCCTGCAGCTTATTAACCAGTTTGAAGATTGTTTCTCTTTGACATCCAGGGTCCCTCAAATGCCACTGACGTAACATCGAATTATAACGAAGTTGGAATAACGAAGTTGGCTCAAGTTGGAATGGATCCTTTAGGCCCATTTCCAACTCATCGGCAGGTCGCAGATGGATTATAGTAGCCACCAACTACCTCACTCGTTACACTAAAACCAAGGCTCTGGAGAGGGGCAAGGCAAGTGAAGCAGCCCGATTTTTCGTAGAGAATGTGGTGCTGAGGCATGGCGCTCCGTCATTGATAATAACTGACAGGGGAGCTGCATTCCGAACTATTACAGACAGTTTTAAGACTTGGTGGCGCATCCCACCAGCGAACAACAGTGTATCATCCGCAAGTGAATGGTCTTACGGGGCATCTCAATAAGACACTTGCGGATATGCTCTGCATGTACGTTGATGTGGAGCATAAAAACTGGGACGAGATCTTGCCGTATGTCAAGTTCGCCTATAACACGGCTCATCAAGAAACAACAAGAACAACGCCATTCCGCTTTCTTCATGGTCATGAAGTCACTACTTAGCTGGATGCTATGCTGCCGCACGAGTGTGAAGACGCTGAAATGGATGCCGATTATATCGCCCAGCTTGCCGAAGAAGCCCGACAACTTGCACGCCTACGTATTTGTCGCCAGGAGGACTATGATTCAAGACTGTACAACCTTCGTCACCGACTAGTCTCAAACGATCGAGGAGAGAAAGTTTGGGTATGGACTCCTATTCGGCGCCGTGGCCTCTCAGAAAAACTGTCAAGACGGTACTTCGGGCCCTATAAAGTTCTACGACGTCTCAGTGACATTAATCACGAGATTGTTCCAGGAACTGCACACTCCTTAAGGCGTCGATGGTGTGCTCTAGAAGTTGTGCACATCGTTTGGATGAAGCCTTATTTCTCCGAATTAACTTATGCGTTTCCAACCAGTGCAAACCACTTTGATTATAAAGCATCGGGACGATGCTTTTTTGAATGGGAGGCTAATGTCACGGCTAAAGGCCGGGCTAGAAGACGGAGGACGATAAAGTGATGAACGTGGACAGCAACCACGGCTCCTCCGAGGAAGACGACGTCGAAGCGGCTGCTCTTTTGTTCTTTTAATACAGACCTTGTTTTTCCTGGTTGCACTGTCGTCCTGTATCCTGTTATTTTCACGTTGCAATAATATTTTCAGAAACTTCATCTGCTAGGTCTATGGTGCCAGCAGATGACAATGTACCTCAATTTCATCGATTAGAAGCCATGTAGGACCCAGTAGACACCTTCTAAATTTATGATGTTGTGGTGTTTGGTGCGGGAACCTCAAGGTGGTGTCACCACCCGCATTTTCTTTTGATGCAATTTCTTGCTTACCATGTTTCATGTCGAGGTAAGAGTAGTGTTTTCAGGATCGTGGAATTGCACTTTACTAATAACACAAGTGTCCCTTTCAAGTGTCCCTTTTTTAGTGTCCCTTTCAAAGTAATAACTAATTTGCAATTGCTTGCGTTCTTTCTTTCGTGACTCTATGAGCATCAAGCTTTCTCAAGAGCTTCAGCGCAGCATCCGAGTTCTCATCTGCTGAGCGAATGCTGCTGTTTCATTGTATTGCATCTCTTGTAAAATTTGGGTTGGTTTGGTCTTCAACGCATTGTAATTGCTCTTGGCCGACTCCTTCAAGGAAAGATAAAAGCTACGAGCTCTCAGTTCAAATAAGAGTTGCGGATATCAAAGTATTCTAATTATCTTTGCAATTGCTTGCGTTCTTTCTTTCGTGACTCTATGAGCATCAAGCTTTCTCAAGAGCTTCAGCGCAGCATCCGAGTTCTCATCTGCTGAGCGAATGCTGCTGTTTCATTGTATTGCATCTCTTGTAAAATTTGGGTTGGTTTGGTCTTCAACGCATTGTAATTGCTCTTGGCCGACTCCTTCAAGGAAAGATAAAAGCTACGAGCTCTCAGTTCAAATAAGAGTTGCGGATATCAAAGTATTCTAATTATCGGGTGCTTTTTCTAATAGAAATATACAGGGCTTTGCTTGGACCCAGGCATTAGTTCAAACTAACCATAAGTTCAAATTAAGAAAGTCTTAATGTTCTGGTGTTTTACTTATATACATCCTGGTTACAGCTGTCACATTTTGACGGAGACAAAATAGTAGAGGCCCGTGTACTTAGCGATGTCACTGCATGGTAAAGAACACCAGATAGTAAAAATTTCCAGAGCTCTCCACTACAGCGTCTCTTATAATCGTATCATGATTTTGGGACATAAAAGCCTATATATCATGATTTAATTATACAGCTCATTTCACAGTATATTCAATAACTAACTATTCTTTCAATTGTTTGTTCTTAACAATTTACGTTAAGTTTGTGAAATATTTTCTATAATAAATATAATACTTATGAGGTGCTACAACTGTGCTTTCAATCCCAGCAGATGTATGGCATATTGTGTCATCTGCTCCTGAAATACAAATGGCTGATATTAATCAGCAGTTTTTTCTGCTCCAAAATCTGCTACAAAAAGTGAGATGTCGTTTCCATCACTGCACTGCAGAATCAATATTTGGACAAATTGTAACTGGCTATGCATCTGGAATGGGCAGTGCAAAAAGCAAGGACAAAAGGCAAGAAGTGTTCAAACAGCACTGCCGTGTATGTTCCATCCTGCCTTGTGTCTTTGCTTTCTGTACTGCCCATTCAAGATTCTATATATATGAAGTGTTTTGCTTCAAATAAGCTGTTCCAGTTTAAAATTTGCTCCTTCGAAAATTACCTGTGTGCCTCTTTTAAATTACTCCAAATGTAATGGTTAAACTTCAGTATAACACTTGATAAAATATCCACTTCATTAAATATTGAAATTTTATTATTTTTAACTTGCTTTTGTGATTATTCCTTGCCTTTTGCCTTTTTTGCTGCACCTAACAGCCTTTACCTTCCTGCTACAGTCAAAACTAACTATATTGAACTCAGCTAAATTGAAAATGGTCTGTTATAAACTATTTTGATCATGAAATTTACTAGAGTGTTGTCCTTTGTTCAGTACAAAAAGTTGCTTGTGCATAAATTTTTTTCCATGATTTTTATTTAACCATGCACATTATGAGGGATGTTTTTCTATCTATCATAATCAAATGTTGTATCTCTGTTTCCTTCCCAGCTGCTGACTCGACTCCATGATGTCGTCCTTCAACAAGAAGAAGCAGGCAACCCAATTGAAATAAAGTTACAGGGTTGCGTAGACGAGATGGAGAAGACACTGAATGCTTATCTTAAGGTTTGTATTCTGATCCATTGCATGTTAGCTATTGTTAGTAATGTTAGCTGATTAACTGAATGTAATCTTGTTTGCAATATTAAAATAATAATTGTGAAACCATGCATTGCAGAAAAATAAATTAATATCTCAAGTTGAAGACTTACTAGATAGTTGCTCATCATGACTGGTGCATAGAGGCTTTGCTGTTTGAACCTCATTTCTGCTTTTCTAGTACAGTGCAGTCCACTTATAACGATATCGAGAAAACCTAAAAATATGATCGTTATAACCGGTGATCGTTATATCTGGACTGCCGCCAAAAAATCGTCGCCAGACGTACCTTTTGTAGCTCCAAGCTTCATTTCGCTATTTTCACCAATTAATAAATATTGTAGATAGTAGGATGTCAAAAACAAGACTTTATTTCTTACTCGGAAGAACGCATCACGGGTTCGCTGAGGAAGAGAGACTGACCGACGGCGGGGTGGGAGCAGTGGGAGGAAGAAAGCACAGCCAGAGGTACACAGCCGGAATGCCAACGAGGCCCCGCCCCGATGCCGCCGCGCCGCTTTGCTTTTCGCTTTTTTTATTTTCTCTCTCTTTTCCGCTTTCGTTCGGCAAGCTACGAGTAGCTTGCCGGCTTGCCGTTGTAGAAGGCGGGGAGCCGCGGAGCGCGGCGCTTTGCTTTTCGCAATTTTTTTTTTAATTTCTCTCAGCCTCTCCGCGGTCGACGCGCGGCGAGGCGCAAAACGTGACACAGCTGGCGCCATCTGTAGCGCGTCGCGCCAACTCGCGACGCTCTCCTCGGCTTTTTGAACGGCCGGGACGCGCTGCCGGCGCTGTGCTGCAGTGGCGGCAGGTACTCGCCTACGCTAACTTTTCGTCTTGTCTCGGCATAGTTCGTTTCAGAGGAACTTATCAATCTAAATGTTACGATTATTCTGAATGAAACATGCCGTCCACGGCAAACTTTTCATCGTTGTATCCGATATGCAATGGATAACATATCGTTATATATGGTTTTTTTCCCCATAGCCCCAATGCATAAAATGAGACTGTTAAGTCGACCCATCGTTATAACCGATATATCGTTATATGTGGTATCGTTATAAGTGGACTGCACTGTATAGCTAAAGGGCGACAGCTGTTGAAGGCCAACTCTGGCGATTTTTCGACCATGTCAAAGTAGTCGTGTTTTTATGTTTTTGGAGCGCTCCTGTTGAGCAAAAAAGTGCAACATTGAAACGGAAACCGAACAGTGCAGTACTGTTTTCGTGTGACATAGAAGTTGGCAAAAACTGGAAGTTGTGCAAGGCATACCAGTTTCGCTAGTGCGGAGTGTGAGAGCTGCAAAAGCAGTCAAGAGCTGACGCTCCGGGGAAAGGTGACCCCGTTGCAATAGCCCTACCATGTCTCTGACTAACTGTGCTACGTGCACAAGCTCCTCGGGGCTGTCGGAAAATCTGTGATGGCTGTGATTCGTGTGCATATGGAGGCCATCCAAAGTCGTCATTCCTCTTCGATGATGTAGGACACACCTGCTTAGTTATTTGTTTGCTTAGTTGCACATTTCACCATCAAATGGCGCCACCTGTCCAGGCAGCTCAAGTTCGCGGGGCTGCGATCGGTTAAAATGCTGTGACATATTAAACACTGCACTAGCGGTGTTTAAACTTGAATTTGCAGGGCCGAATCAATTTATCATTAGCCAAGTACAAGCCACCTCTCACATGACACACTAGGCCCGGTCACATTTCACCTTTTATACATCGTGGTAAGTTACTGTAGTTCATACTGTAGTGTGTACGCTTAGCACGTTAACATAATGTTCACACATGTGAACTATTCAACTGGCACAGTATTACTGCAGTTTTCATGCCATAAACCGGTGCTGCTGGCTAAAGCACTTTAACGTCAAGATGATGTGTAAATGGTTGGTTTGAGGGCTTGACTGTTCAGGTGATTGTATGGGGAATCTTCAGAAACTGTGACGCAACACGGCTTGCCATTCATCGCACACAGGCCCATGACGAACCAAAATTCGCATGCAGAACTAACAAAGCGTTGGCCGAGCAACACCTGCATTCGTTGGCTTGCGGACAGAAGACCTCAGTTTCGTCGCATCCGTCACTTTGTCGTAAATGACATCGCACACAATGTTGCTAATAATTTTTGTAAGCCTGTTGGGAGAGTCGGCACAATCCATAAAAATCATTTATAAAGAACATGCATATCTGTCCAGCCTGTACTTTTCATAAATAATGGCAATGTGCAAAGGAACGTACACAGTGAGTCTTATTAAGATCTATTGCCCTCAATAGATTGTCGGAGTTGGCCTTTAAAAAATTTGCGAGGTATTTTTTGAAATCTACTATTTACAACTTTGTTTCAGTACTGGCACTAACATGCACAGTACTATTTTTTTTTGTTGATGAAGCAGTTGCTACTGCTGATGTTATCATTAAGGGCTTTATATAAGGAATTGTGTTTTCTATGTTTTAAACTTCTTTGTCCCTTGTTTACCAAATGAAAGTTTTGAAGTCTGACAGCATTAGGTTGCCTGTCTAAGATCGAGCATATCGAAATGCTGTCCAGGCTGGGAGGCACTGGCAAGGCATATAATCCTAAAATATATGTGCTCTCAAACAAAGCACCAAAAGCTGTGTGATTTGGCCCAAATTACTCTAGTAAAAAATGCATAGTGAAAGTGAAACGTTTTCTGTCTTTCATGGATCATAAAATGCTTGCCATTGCTGTGAAAGTAATGCAAGATGATTATGGTGATTCCTATTTCAGAATACGTATAGTTGGTTGTTTTGAGGGAGCTTTTTCATTGAAAATAGTAACTGAAAAGGAAACTCTTGCATGTTTGCCTTGAATGTATGCTTTGTCCAGTAGTAAAATACAAAGCTAGTGTAAATCTATAATTAACTTTTCTGCCTCTTTTTATTTTAAAGGTGTATGGTAGCAATTTGTCCAATGGAAAAAATCTACAGCTGAGAGGGTTAATACTTAAACTTAACTAGACTTGAAGTGAGCCAGGGTCTTTGTGTGCTGTTTATCAACTTACTGTAATGTTTTTAATATGAAAACTGGTCAGGGATTCTGGAATTCAAGCAATAATAATGGAATTATGTATTATGCAGGCTGTAGTTATAGTGAGTTTTGGCAAGGGAAGTTAACAGTGTTTTAACATGAGAAATAAATATGTTGGGGCAAAGTAGTAATACCCAAAGCATAAGCAATACTGTTTCCTAATATCATTGTCCTGATGAATCTGCCGGAAAACGAGGAGGCAAACATTACAATGACACTACCAAATAATTCAGGAAATTGTGGTTGTGATGTTATATTGTCATGATTGTCATGCTTTAGAGCGTGTGACATGTTGTACAACGAGGAGATGGTGGCAGATTTTTAAAACCACATGATAATTATAGTGGATGGCACACACGCACACATGAAATATGTAAAGCTGGAACATATCAATCATCTTGTATGGCAGTGCTAGAGTCCGGGAAGTTGTGGCATGGTAGTGACTGAGAGGCAGCAGGCTATGGAGCAAGTGAGCAACACACCGCGCAGTAAACGGTAGGCACCATTGTCGGTAGCAAGGTAGGTCTCGTCAGCACCAGGCCAAAATGTTGCAGCGTTTGCAGTCTCAAAGGCAGAACAAAGTCTGGTAGAACGAACCTCGCGCATAGACGCAGGTCCCCTGACAGCAGCAGGTAGTGTAGCAGATCTTGCAAAAGAGTGAACGTGAGGCGCTCGCTGTCCTGAAGGCAGGCGCACTGTGGTAGCACTAACCTCACACTTAGATGCGGGTTCGCTAGCCCTCTGGCCTGTTCTGACCGCATTCAAAAAACTTACTCGCCTAAACGAGCCTCTTCCTCCCTCTTTTTCTTTCTCCCTAATTCGTGAGCTTTTCCTTCTTTTATTGTCTTCCAACAATTGGCCGCTCTGTTGTCTTCTCTCGCAGGCGTGCCTTTATGTGCTTCTTCAGAGTCCTCAAGTTTAAAAGAAAGCTGAACTAAATTGATATGCAGAACTTTTAAATGGCCGTCTCTCAAGCTTTTTAATAACTTGGGTAGCTTTGTAAGTTTTTAGTAATTATAATGCTTCTCTTGATGTATGACAGACCAATTTTATTTCTAAAATAGAAACTGCACATTCACTAAAAAATCTTAATCTGAAATATGGTCAAGATGTATTTTCAGGCTAGTTGGTTCATGCTTTCAGTAGAACAGCACCAGTGAAAAGAAAGCACCACATGAGGAGCAATGACACGTACACAAGACACCTTATGTGTCTGACGTTGTGTGCGTGTTGTTCCTGCTCGGCTGGGCCCTTGTTTTCACTGGCGCTGTTGTACTCCAATAGGGGTTTAAAGTTTCTAGTTCAAACTAAGGCTATCTTTTTTCTCAAGAAAATAAAAAAAAATTGCATAGAAAGCAAATAGGTTCATACTTTATAGGCTTGCTCTCTCTTCTAGCTTTGCTACATACCTTCTTTATGCTTTTCATTTCAGGGAACTGCTTCGAACATGTTGAAGTGCATTGAAGACCAGTGTCCTACAATCATGTCGGATGAGGTATGTAATGTAAGAAGTGTCAGTCAAAAAGTTTGTGTGACTTTTGTCTTATTTTTTTTTCTGCCTCTGTAGGTAGTGGTGATACAGTAGACTTTCGATAAATCATACTAGAGGTGACCTCAGGGTATAGTTTCAATTGTCAGTTCTCATAAATATAGCTCAGGCTAACATACTAACTAGTGTTGTGATGTTAATCATTTCACAGTGCTGCACCAGCATTTTAGCTCTGCACGATTGCCAGTAAAGTTTTTAGACATCAGCGATGGTCCTGGTTTTTTTTATCATACAACACGTGCACGTGAGTACAAATAAGGGATGAGATGTGCTGTGTCCTGCAACAGCTTGTAGCTCGTTTTCATTCTTAGGACACTTTTTTTCACGACACTATGGAACAGCGGGGAAAGGGGTTTACGAAGCATTCGGCACATGGTTGACCAAAGCAAGGCCGACTCTCTGTCTTTCACTTCCTCAGTCAGCATGCGATTGTTGTTGCATATGGTTTAGCTAGTTAGACAATTTTGTAGGCAGCCAATTGGCTTTTTTCACAAACTTCAGTGCCATAAAAATCTGAATTTACAGCTAGGAGCCACAAAGGTTGCTATTTCCAGGTATGGACAAGCAAAATGTTTGAAAGAAGCGAATTTGCACAGTGGGGCAGTTTGAATCAAGTGACTTTAAAATACATTGAAAATATAGCAAGCTGACCAAAATCTAAATATTTTAAAATAATCTATTGTAAGAATTATCATTGTTTGAATCATCGAGAGTGTGTCAGAATTAGTTTGTCCATATAAAAGGTAAGTAGTATACTATACAGAAGAATGTGCCATAGTTATAGTATACACTCCAACCTCAATATAACAAAGCTGGATATAACAAAATACCGGTTATAATGAAATAAATGAAAAATTCTCTTGCAATAGATACAATATTAGAAATATACCTTTATAATGCATTTTCGGATATAACAAACTTATTTTCATGTAGTATGAAATTTCCTTATAATGAGGTTTGGGTGTAGTTAGAAACTGCATCGGTACCCCCTCTGCATGGTTTCGAGAATTAATATAATAAGCTGCAATGACAACACATGAAATTTGCATTTATGAAATACTGTTAAATCACATAGCATAGTGACCAAGTACAGGCTGAGGAAGAACGGCTAAATGTGAGTGCTGCGAAGATATACAAAAGTGTGGAAAAGAATTATCACGTAAGTTACATAAAAAAAAAAAAACATGCGGTAAACATAAATGACCAAAGTGGTTATATTGACTAGTTACTTATTTAAAGTGTATTTGCTCTTAATTTTTAATTATGTAATAATTAATTACTTATTTTTTGAATGGGTTACAAGAAATTTCTGAATAAATGGGCAATTCAGCAACCACATTCATAGCTTGACTCCATGCCGGCAAAGTCCTCTTCACAGTGGTCGTGTGGCATGCAGAAATCCTCAAGGAACATGAAAGCAATGTGCCGGGATAATTGGAGTAAGGAAAGCTGTTGCATCCATGCCACCACTTTGGCCTGCCTTCGAAAACTTGCATTTCCAATGAATGCCCAGTACGAGGCTTTGCAGGAGAGTACTGAACTGGGTTGTTGTGCTTAACAAAGCAGAACAGTGCAACATGATCACAGGAAAATGATAGCTTATAACTGCCATATCTATCTACTTTACAAGGCTTTGTACATTTCTTTTTACATGCATAATTATTCTGAGTATTCTTAGTTGATTGCGACAAAAAGTGGAAAGTTTGCTGTGGGTGCAGAGCACAGCTGTTGTTATCTCTACGATATTTTTCTGTATTCCCATTCTTGCAGTCATTTTCGGTCTTATTGTGACACTTGTGACATCGAACATAGAAGATCAATCAGCTATACATTAATGGTAGTGCATGACTGCTGAAAATCATACGCAAACCATGCTCACAGCCTGCTGGCTTAGGTTGTCCAATTAAATGTGAATGCTTCCATCTAACAAGTGTCTCGGGAGCTTATAACATTCATACCATTGCATCATGGGGGCTAATGACAATTGATGGTGGCACTCTTGTGGCCAGCGGTCTTATGCATGGGCCCTTTAGAACCTATACTAACTCTGAATATCTCTAAGGCCGTGTGGCAGTCTGCAAGCTTGTCATTGACACATTGGCTTTGGTGGCACCGAAAGTGTCAACCACAAGCTTGAAGCAGAGACCCAAGCCAGTTCCTGGCCTCGTGCACCATACACAGTCGATCTAGTCAATTTCAAAATCAGTGTCCATGCAACCTTTCTCGTGGTGCCTCATTACACATTGAGGAAAGTTCATATCTGCTGTACAGACCAGAATTGCAGTTTCTGTAGTCTTGTCGTTCCTGGACCAGATCTGTTTCAGTGCAATTGAATTTTGTTTATCACTCGTTTCTTTTTATCTCATTTTTTCTTATGCATATAATATGATAAATTTTTATGCCACTTGTGTCAAAGTAAATTTGTTTACCACTATATGCTTTACATAAAATGTTCGATTTCAACTCAGCAAATTTCAACAAAGTTTAACTGCAGATAAAACGTGTGTAGGACCAGCCCTTGTTTTTAAACAGTAACTAACTCATGGCAAGTTCAGTGGCAATGGCGGATCCAGCCTATGCTCAGAGCCCAGCAAATGTTGTATTCCTTGCCTGACTGGTATCCTTTGCCTTTCTAAGTTGCACTCATCTTCTTCACTACACCTTATAATAATGTAAATTGGAAGTTTTGCCTATTTTGTTATATCTAGGTATAATTTAACTACTGTTCCAAAGGAATAGCAACTGAAATGAAATTCGATGCTGCTTGCCCTTGTAAAATGTTAAAAATATAAATCTGTGCCAATATGACCTTTTTAGTACAATGGACTGATTCAACTTGTATTTACACCTTTGTAGAAAGTTCGAAGAGAGATTGAGGACATTTGTCGAAGTCGGCAGAACTTTCCACAAGAGGTTCTCCAGCGGGCTATTCTGGACCAGGCTGGCACCGACATTCTAAACCGCATCAGGTAACTGTTGCAAGTTTTCACACAAATTGTTAAAAATGTTTCTTGAAGTTGTGTATATGTTGATACATCTCTTGTAATGCTTGAAACGTAAGCTCAGAAAAGTTGGGGAAAGCTCTGCAAAAAAAAAAAAAAAGAGTGGAAGTGTGGGCACAGCCACTACAACGACCCACTTATAGCAATAGTATTCAAGGATCAAGAAATTTTTCTTATAACAGTGTAATTATAATAACGAGGTTGCTTTTATACTGTTGCAAGGCAGTAGGGGGTATTTTCTTAACTAACACCATGTACACATGGAAGGGCAACCAGTGCCCTCTCTTATCTCTTTTGGCCTGTGCATCGTGTTTGCTTTTTAACTCTACAAATGGTCCTTGCTTCATGTGTGAGCAGTTTTTCGATCTACTATATTCTATTGACAGTGTGAAGGCTGCGATTTGACAGACTGCTCTACCAATGCGAGTGAGGTTCAACATCACTACATGCTCTTCAGTGTCACTGGGGTGTAAATGTTCCTCCCTCCTGTACTTTCAGTACAGCACACATGAGCACGCCATCATCTGCCAGAATTCTGCTCAACTCCTTGCCAGGTTTCAAAATGTCAAAGGCCTCAATAATTTCTTCAGGAGGGTGCACATAGCTCGAGGTAGTTACTAGCTACTCTATGAAGCATAGCATGTTCAAAATGTTAAAAAATAGATTGGTGGACAGATTTATAATGACTGAGTTTGTTATTTTTACCGTACGAAGATTAAAGTTCCGTGAAAAGCCGTCGAAGTCAATTGTAAATAAGGGATTTTTGTTCAGTGAACTTGTCTCTCTTCATATGTACCATTTTCCTGTATCAAAGCTTTCTAGGAACAGGTGCTTCCTTGTCGAGCAGGCATAGCCAGCACTTGCAAGCATATAGAATGTAAGGAAAGAATACCCAAAAAGCTTGATGCATTCGACTGCCAACCTAAGTGGCACACATTCACTGGAATCCTTATGCTTTTTCTGTGCTGGTTGAAGGATCTGCTGAAGTGTGGCTAAAAATCGCTTGATCTCCATGGGAATGGAAAAGTGTGAAAACAACTTATTGCATTTTTGTAGCTTTGTAGGGATTTACACTCGTGCCAAAAGTATGGCTGATTTGGCACAGAGCTCTAAGGGCCACCTAAATGACCATGCAATAGCACTTTCATATGAATACAAAAAATGTTTCATGACAAACAGGCTGAATTTAGTGCTTCACATCTCATCTTCTCTGAGCGAGTTTTTCAGTGCCATCTAATATTCATTCCATGTAAATTATTGTCAGGTTGTGGTGGCCCAGAGCACAAAAAAGTATGCTGCTACAATGTGTATTGGTTAAACTATCACAAAAACAAATTCAGTGAAAAAAGTAAGCAGAGATTCAAACAAGCCAGTGCAAAGTCTGCTCCCAGCATAGGCATGGGGGATAGGCAAACAAATATTAAAGTACAGTCGAACCCACCTATAACAATCCCACATACAATGATCTATTGGTTATAACGACCATATTTTGGTGCACTTAGGATTTTCCTATGCTACCCTTTGAAACTGAGTCTACATATAGCAAACGTTTTTCAAAGCCTCCTACTTTTGCAACGAATACTTCAGACACCGTCGCGGTAAAAATATGGCACACACAAAGCGGAAAAAAAAAATTTTTTTTCAATGTGATAGGGCTTCCGCGCGCGTGCCCCGCTGCAGATTACTTGAGACAAAGATATCGTAGCCTGCAGCAAGCACCGCACAATGCGAGCGAGGTTGCTCACTTTCCAGGCGTTTCTTCACCAGGAGCATGAAGACTATGGTCAACTTTCACACGGCAAGTTTTTTAACACTATTCTTGGCATTTCGGCATCTACGACCGCCAATGGTGAACCAAATATGCCTTCGAACTCAAAAAGCATGCGAGAAACGATAACATTGTGTCGCATAAAAGTTCACTGCGAAGCTCAACTCTTCAACACCCCTACGTACCGCAAAAGGTTTTCAACCTTTTGGAAACGGCAGATACCGGTCGATTAGTGATAAGACTTCGGCACGGTTGCGGTGGTGCCTGAAGGGATAAGCATCAGAAAAGAGGCAGGTATCAATGATTGTGCAATTTTGACTAATCGCTGGCAACCATATCATAATTATCTGCTGATATCTGCTCAGTGGAGTGACGGCGGTACAAGCGTGCCATGCTGCTGTTCGCAAGTTCGCCGCCGCCGCGCCGTGCGAGGCCGCTTGCGCGCATTACTTGCAGAAATAGTCATCGTTGTGTTAAACGAAAAGGCTACTCACCACACCCGAGCATGATCCCGAGTGAAGCATGCACAAAGAACGCACAAACGCGCACATATAATAGACTGCAAACGACCTAGTATGCGAAGGCGAGAGCCAAATAAGTGACGTGCTGCGCGAGCTAGCCAGAGATGATTGGTTCGACGTACGGTACCACGCTTCTGTGGAACTGTGTGAGTTCATTGTGAGCATGGTTTAATTCACTCGTGAACACACAACTGGCGTCGCTTAACACGCGAAAAGGCCCAACTTGTCAGCGCAGGGTTTGTTATCACTTTTTAATAAAAAATACCCAGAAAAAAAAAACTTTTTGGTCGCTAAGTGAACGTTTTTATGGGCGAGTTCATATACAACAAACTACTAATATAACAACTATTTATCGCGACACTTTCGAGTTCGTTATAAATGGGGTCGACTGTATTCGAATTTACATTGACATTAATTTGAAGTTTATAAAATTTGGTTGCATTTAAAACAAACTCAGTGATCCCACTTCTGCGCAAACTGCGCCAGATAAAATTTACCGTGTCATCCGGATAATATGAACAGAAATTGCGCCAAGTTGCGCCAAAGTCGGCACGTCAGAACATGTGTGGCTTGTTCTTGGGGCCATAAAAGTCACAGCCACGTACCTAGAGCTAATTAGCGAAATAAACAGTGGATGCAGCGGTCAAGCGTGTGTCCCAAGTACATTGTAGACTACTAATAACCTAACCGCTTATAGTGCAGAACCACTTACAATGCGGTCTTTTTCTACTCCAGTTTACCCTCCCATAGAACCCCATGTATACGCATACCGCTTATTGTGCAGTTCCCCAAGATGAAAGACCGGTTTTAATGTGGTTGTCGGAAATTCTTTCTAACAAATGCTGTAGCCAGTGGATTTCTGAAAGGAGGTGCGCTGGGTGCGTCGCTGGGTAGCGAACGACGAGGTTTTTTGGGAGGAGGAGGGGACATGGAGTGAACAAAGAAAGGGCAGAGGGAAGAAAATTAAAAAAAAACACCACGGGACACTGCACGGGCTCGACAAGTAAAGAAGGAGGACAGTTGCCTTGATGACCGATGAGCCTTTGCACCGTGGCTACAGCGTACGGTACGGTACGCAGTACGGTGCAAAGGCTCATCGGCTTTGCACCGTACTGTACGGTAGTACGCGGCTACAGCGTGCTACCGTATTTTCGCGCGTATAACCCGCACCAAAAACCAAAAAATTTCAGTGGCAAAGTGGAACTGCGGATAATACGCGGGGTGTTTTCTATAGTGCTGCTTCACAGCATTGTGTGTTGTGCTGTGAAGCCCTTTAACAGTGTAGCGAAGGCTACGGAGGCGGTTTCCGCAAATTCGTGTTGCTCCGCAAGTAGCACGGCAGCTTGCGGCTGATTTTGGTTTCGCTTGCTTGCATCGTTGAAGCGTTTAGAAAAACATTTGGGGAGAGGCAATTCGATTGTTCAGTGTAAACTCTCACTGTCACACCACAAGTATATTTTTTGGACGTTCGCGGCCACTCAGTGACCCTCCACATGTCCCTACGTCACGGACGCCATGTTTACTTTTGGAAAGGGCTTGCCGAAAGGTGGTGCTGTCTAAGAAAGTTCCATAATAAATAAAGTAAGTTCCATAATAAATAAAGCAGTATTTATTTCAGCAAGGCAAATGAGATGTTACAGTGCCTATAGAGATATTATCAGTAAATTAATGTACTACTTTCTGACGCGGTAGCAGGCATGCATTTCGGTTTTGTTGTTTCCAGGGTGCTGTTACAGTGTACTAAAAAGGAAAGTGCTGTCAAGTTGTCGCCGAATGTGAGCGCTCTTTACCTCGCTGATACCGCTAGTTCTCCACATCTCGACCCGTTCGCCAAGCGTAAGTCGATCTGTTCTGTCACCATGAGTAGCGTACGGCGGCAGGCCTTCATGGCACAGCAAAAGCTTAAGATCATCGCCGTCGCCGAGAAATTCGAAAATACGCGGAGCGGGAAGACAGCACGATGTGGACGAGTCCTGCGTGCGACTGTGGAGAAAGAAGAAAGAGAGCCTGCAAGCCGCGCACCGCAACCGTAGGTCATTTTGTGGCCCCAAGACAGGTGCCTACCCTGAGCTGGAGGCGGAGCTAGTAAAGTTCAACGAAGATGTGAGAAGCAGGAGTCACGCCGTATCGACCGAGATGGCCCAAGTGGAAGCGCGGCGACTTTCGAGGGAGCTAGGCCTACCTCACGAGTTCCGTGCGAGCCACGGATGGCTGCACCGCTTTATGAAGCGGCAAGGGCTTTCAATCAGACGGCGGACTACAATATGTCAACGCTTGCTGGCTTCTTATGAGGAGAAGCTGCTCAAGTACCAGAGATATGTAATTGGCCTGCGAAAGCAGCATAATCACATTTTCTCGCAAATCGGCAATGCGGATGAAACTCCTGTTTATTTTGAAATGCCGTTGGGCACAACGATTTAGAAGACGGGCAGCAGTTTGGTGAGCGTGCTGACCGGCGGGAACACGAAACTGCGCATCACAGTCTTGCTTTGTGCCCTCGCCGACGGCACGCAACTGCGACCGTACGTCATCTTGAAAAGGAAAACTCTACCAAAGGTTCATTTGCCTGCCGGTGTGGTGGTGCGCGCACACGAGAATGCGTAGATGAACAGTGACTTGTTCGTAGACTGGATCAAGACGGTATGGGAGAAGAGGCCCGGTGCGATGCTCGCAAAGAG